CTCATCTTATCATTGGAAGTTTATACTCCTTGACCTATTCTCCCCATGTCTATTACCCTCCACCCACTGGTGACCACCAGTCTATAAAAAATTTTTAAAAAAATTAAAAAAAAAGCACAATCAATAATGAAAAGGCATCACGACAGCACAACCAGAGACAGACTATTGACTGTCCCACAAAAGCAGTCAGACTAAGAAAATGCAAAGTCACCACATTTATGGAACCTGTCTCTAGAATTCGTTTCTTTTACCACTTCATTCAAAAATGTGGAAGCAAAGCTTGCCTAGAATGATGACATAAATCAGGTTTAATGAAGTGACTTGATTCTACTCCACTCACTCTCAAGTGGTGTTCTTTTTTAACCTCTGCATCAGAATCTCCTTAGTTCCACATGTCACAAATTACACAGAAACAAAATTAAAGAGAAAAACATGGGGAGGCAGCCACTGGCCAACACATTTTTTTTTTTTTTTTGGTCTCTCTGATGTGTGAAATATTACAATTATTCTCCCATTCCAATCTATAGGTCCATATGTGGGGTGTGTGTGTGTGTGTGTGTGAGAGAGAGAGAGAGAGAGAGAGATGGAGAGAGATGCCAAGGAAAACACTCCAAGAGGGTATAACTTCAGGATACACAGTGAAAAATAAGATAGATGCCCAAACACTAAAGCAACTTTTTTGGATATGAACTCTTTGTTCTTCTGGATCCTTTTTTAAAATTTTTTTAATTTTTATTTATTTTTGAGACAGAGAAAGACAGAGCACAGGTGGGGAGGCACAGAGAGAGAGAGAGAGACCCAGAATCTGAAGCAGGCTCCAGGCTCTGAGCTGTCAGCACAGAGTCTGACGCGGGGCTCGAACTCACGAATTGTGAGATCATGACCTCAGCCGAAGTTGGACGCTTAACCAACTGAGCCACCCAGGCGTACCCGAGAGAGCTGAACTAAACCAGTGTTTAATTCTTTTTTTTTTAAATATTTTTTTTTATTTATTTCTAGGAAAGAGAGAGACAGCGTGAGCAGGGAGGGTCAGAGAGAGGGAGATACAGACTCTGAAATAGGCTCCAGGCTCTGAGCTGGCAGTCAGCACAGAGCCCGACGTGGGGCTCGAACCCACGAACCGCGAGATCATGACCTAAGCGACCTAAGTCGGACACTTAACCGACTAGGCCACCCAGGCGCCCCTACCAGTGTTTAATTCTTAACATAATAAAGTATAAGCCACTGTCATGGAAGGAACCGTGGGCACTGGTATTCATAAATAAGGTGACAGTATATGGCTGAATATTGTTTTTTCCCAACAGCTTAATGAACACACAGTAATTATGTTTACTTTAACATGTATTAAACTATGATTTCCTGGACATTATTTAAACAGGTACACCATGCCTTCACGCACATTATTGCTTATAATGGCTGCAATAGTCCGCTGCCTTAAAATTACTCAAGTAAAAGAAATTAGCGAGGTAATGGAGAATCTTCAGTAAAAATGTACAAGAGACACACAAATACGGCAACATGGCGAAAGAGGTTTATGAATGCCTGGGGCTTGGGGGCTGCTAGGTTCAAGAATTGCACACATTCTAGTAGACTCAAGACTTGCTGTTATTGTCTTACGGGCGGACGAAAGTGTCAAGGAAATTGAGTCGCATGCATTACATGTTTGTAAAATGTACGAGATGAGTCTCTCTTGACTGTTAAGCTATTTTCCTGTGCTGAATCACCCATTATACTCCAGGCTGTAGGAAGGAGCGGTGCAGCTCATGACTCCTGGAGGGGTGTAACGTAACATGGAGTAATGTCTGTTGGGCACCGTCTTTCACAAACACGCTCTGCAGCGTGACAATGTCAAACAGTCAACCACATCTGATTGAACCAAGTCTAGTGACAGGGAGAGCTTCACCCTGCCTGGAATAAACTCCTTTCCCCTTCCTCGTGCTATCATCCAGCCACCTCACGGGGCTGCTCTTTTTGCTGAGCTAAATGCAACATCTCACGCCAGATTTATTGGGCTTGGCAAAGTTGCAAATTTCATTACGCAAAAGTTGAGAAAGAGCAACGCTGAGGAGTGCTAAAAACAGTACACTTTGCTACTGTGTAGTACTGTGTTTGGGGCTCAGGCTGTTTTATTTATAGATATCTATTAATACACAGCAAGAGATACAGAAGAAATACATAAAAAACAGCTTTATCAAATAGTTTCCAGTATTTCGAGTGTAAGAGCAACATCAAGAGCGGCCACAGAAAAAAAAGCCATGTTCTTGCGCCCTCACTCCCTTCCCTTTCCCTGTCCTCTCTGAAGACGAGGCTACAAAGAGCCTACACCCTCTTAGATCTTGGAGGGGTGGGGTGGGGGCTGTGGAGGGAGGTGGGATGTCCACAGATACTACTCTGTCCAGCTTTTCAACCTCTGCCTCTCCAGCCTCCCTCTCTAGCAGTGCTGTATGTGGAGGAGAAGGGGGAGCTTGGAGCTTGTAAAACTGGTTTGCTGCGGATCTTTCTCGCTCCAGGTCTTGCTTCTTGGGAAAATGTTTTGCGCTTTCTCTGGGCTCGCAAGGGGCTTCCCTTCCTCCTGCAGTAGGAAAGAGGGCTGCCCCCAGAAGTGGAGGTGGCGAGGGGGATGGGAGAGGCAGATCCCATCACACTTCCCCCAGGACACACAGAGCCCTAGAAGGCCTGGGGGGAGAGGTGGGGGTGGATCCCTACTCACTTTTGTGTTTATAATTCAAACATGTTCCCAGGGTGACCCTCGTGGGAGAGGAGGGGAGGGGGGACTGTGGGAAGGCGTGTGGGCAGTGTGATTTTGCTTCGCTTCCACCTGATTGCTGGGGGCAGCCTGGCTAAGGCAGGGGCGGTGGGGAGAGGGACTTCCCTGCTGGAAGGTAACCCAGGCTTCACCTGCAGAGACTGGGGAGGGCGGGGGCGGTCGTTTCCTGGCAGGAGCTTGGGACAGGTTGGTCCTGACTGCACCCAGGCTTCTGCCAAAGTTGCCAAGAGGCTGAAGAAGGGGTGAGAGGGATCCCAGGCTTCCTATCCCTCACTGGGGGGAGCTTGGATCCAGTGACAATGACATGGGCTCTCCTTTGCTCTCCCTGCGGTCTGCTGGGGGGGAGGAGGTGGGGACACAGTGGCCAGAGCTGAGGTGGGCAGAGCTGGCTTCCGGCTTGATGTCACCCCGGTCTGGGGTGAGCTGTGGCCTCCCCAGCTCCCCAGGGCTGGGCTGAGGTAAGCCTCTGAAGAGGCAAAGGCCCAGACAGAGTCCCCTGGGGACTGGGTGGAGGCCTCCCCCGGTGTGGGTGTGGGAGGGAGGGTGCCAGCCTCTCCTCAGTCTCCAGCTCCTGCTGCAGTGGCTCTTTTAGGGGACAGGTCTCCCCAGCGGGGACTTCCAGGGAGGTCCACACTGCCCACAGCTTCCGTGCTGGGATAAAATCTGTCCTTTTCATTCTAGAGGTGAAGGGTAAGCAGGGAAAAGGAGGACATGGTTTGATGGGACCCTCCTGAGTACATGTGACTACCCCCTCCTGCCTCGCCCACCCTGGGTCGGGGATTGGAGTTAAACAGGGTGAGGAACTGGAGGAAGCATCTATTTGATGGTGTAGACACATCTTTCTTCTGTGTAGGGAAGATGCTCTGAACTTACTCAGGGCACTGCAAGAAGTTTGGTAGAGCATCGAAACTCTGGGGGCCTCGGTTTACCCACCTGCAAAATGAGGCTACTTGAAAAAGCCACTGTCTTACATTTACGGTTTACTTTGTATATGACCAAACATTCAACTCCACCGGTGGCTGCCCTGGGGGTACCTCAGGGGATATTTCAAGGGCATATAGACAGAAATCGCTTGGAAAATGTAAACCATTATTTAAATGTGAGGTATTATCTGATCTCCTTATTCAGCATGGCCATTTCCTCCTTCCCAAACACCACCCTTATTGCACATTCACCTAACCCCCTACAAGAACACCCCTTTGCCCTAAACGAAGAAACCAAGGAGGTGGGGGGGTGAGGGGAGAATGATCCAGAAAAGATGCCCCCGTGCTGGGAGTAAGTGAACGTTCTGAGAGGCGGCCCCTTCTCCCAAGAGGCGCAATTCCTTGCAGCTCCTCAGCTCTCATCGGGGCTGCCTTCCTTCTGTTATATGGGAGCCTCGGTTTTTATTTTTTGTTCTTTCAAAATCAGCCCCTGTAGCTCTCCATCCCCCCCTGGCGTTCCTTTCCCGCAATTTCTTAACACTGGTGCTATTGAACCTGGGGCGTTCCGGGAAGGGGAGGGAGCATGGGCACAGCAGAAAGCTTATGGGGGCTTGTACTCCATGATACCCAAAGCACTGGCTATGTGCCCGGAAGGACTGTAATTTTTTTTTAATTTCATTTCCTTGCCATTCCTTCGCCAATCTTTTTCACTGTACACGCGAAGAACTTTAGCAAAAAAAAAAAAAAAAAAAAAAAAAAAGACTTGGGGGAGGGGGCTTGGAGGAAGGACAAGTATGTTGACCTGCCAAAATAATGTGAGGGGGGTGGGGGGGGAGTGAGGGGGAGAGCGTTCCCTTGTTTGATCAACACTAAGAAATCGGGAGACATAAAAGGAAAATGCAGTGAACAACAATTAAAAAAAAAAATCCCCGCGCACAACAATACAATCTATTTAAACTGTAGCTCATACTTTTCATACCAATGGTATGACTTTTCTGGAGTCCCTCTTCTGATTCTTGAACTCTGGGACTGGCAGCTCGCAAAGGGGAAGCAGACTCAAGCACTGCACCGGCAGGTTTACCAAAGGTCTCTAATGGGTATTTTCTTTTTCTTAGCCCTGCCCCTGAATTGTCAGACGGCGGGCGTCTGCCTCTGAAGTTAGCAGTGATTTCCTTTAGAGCCTGGCCTTATCTCCGGCTGCACGTTGCCTGTTGGTGACTAATAACACAATAACATTGTCTGGGGCTGGAATAAAGTTGGAGCTGTTTACCCCCACTCTATAGGGGTTCAATATAAAAAGGCAGCGGAGAGCCATCCAAGGCAGACGCGCTTCTGCAGCGGCGCTGGGGCGAGAGCGCAGAGGGTCCCGGGCGCGCTGCTGTGTCCCGGGCACGCCACCGCCGCGTGCGTCTTCAGACCGCTCCCACTGCGGCCCTGCTGGCAGAAACTTCTTTTTTCTGTCCGTTAAAAGAGCCCTTAGGCTGAAGGATCGCTTTGAGATCTGAATAACCAGAAGCGCTCCGAGGCAACCGAAGCTATTTTTCTTCGTTTTTCCTTTTGGGTTTCGTTGGCACGGGAGAATTTTTATCAATTCCCTCCCCACTTTTTTTTTTTTCTCTCTCCAAAATGGATTATTTCCCCATGATTTTCTCTCTGCTGTTTGTGGCTTTCCAAGGAGCTCCAGAAGCAGGTAGGCACGGGCGACTTGTAAAATCTCTGAATGTGAATGTCTTCTTGTCCACCTTAATGTTTTTCTTGCTTCTGTTTTCCCGTTCTTTTTATTACTGCAGCTCGGATATCAAGTGTCTGGGAATTATTGCTTAAAGCTACTTAAGTTTTTTTTTTTTTTAGTGGGGGGAAAAATTTCTCTACTGAAAACAATTGCTCCTATAGCATTAAAGTAACTTATTATTCTTGTGAATGTATTTCCTTGGCTTTTAAAAACGCAGTTCAAGAAAGTAAAGACAAGATACAATGTAGCCAAAGGTATATTTGTAATGTATGTGTTTGTACAGGTAACAGCACATATAGGAACTTATATATCTTATTTCAATACTGTTTAAATAGTGGGTGAATGTGTAAAATATTTAAACATTTCAGCTTGAAGCCAAGGAATTTTATTCAAGTCATTCAAGCAATATATGAGCAGTAAAATCACCTGCAGAACAGTCTGTTGAATAACCCTGGGGCAGTTTCAGGGTGAAGCAGATGTTTTCCTTAAAATTTGTCATGATTGACTTCAGGCTTCTTTTGGCAGGTTTTTGGCACCCCAAACAGCGTGAGGTCTATTTTCAGTTTTATTCACCTGTTGTGGGAGGGAAGCTAGGATAAATACTGGCTGCTTAAGGATTTAGAAAGTACGTGTGCATCTGCCCGTTTCTCCCTTCTTAGGGTCAGTGCTCTTTTTTGTGTGTCTTTTCATGACCCTGACTAAAGAGAAAAGATGTCAAGGGAATGAAAATCCTGGAATGTGTCTGATCATTTGAAATGTACAAAATTGGGCAGATAAGCCACATGGGCAACTTGTCAGTGAGCAGAGGCGATTCTGTTGTGGGGAAGGGGGAGGTGGTGAATCCAACACATGCCTTCCTGCTCCAGGGATTCTGAATTCAAATTCCACAGAACCTTGATTAAGTCCCCAAGCTGCTGCTCAGTCTCACGGGAGATCAGTGGTTTCTATAGAGTTTACCACCTGCGATGAGTATGGTAGAGCTGGTTTCTCTTCTTTCTCTCCAATCATCCCCCGAAAACTCTTGAACTTCACCTAATTTCAAGGGCCATGTATCACCTGGGCTAGTCCCTGCCCTCCACCAGGTGTGAAGTGGTGGGTACTCCCCTAACCTGCATGGGGGTATGGCTCCAAACTGAGGAAGAGGCCGGTGATTTATTTAACTGTAGATCTTGGGTCAACAACCAACTTTAAGCCTCTGTCCCACTAAATTCCATGCAGAAGGCACCCCCGATTTCTAACAGGCAGTGTGTCTGGTCGTTCCTAACAGGCAGTATGACCCGCTCCATGGCGGCCGGTCCCCTTTACAGGTGACTGTTTCCCCTGCACACGTGTGATCTCCCTGAAAGTGGATAAGCCAGTGGGGGTAAAGGTGAAGTCACATAAAGAGCCCTTTCTGCTCTGTTTCTTGCTGAAGGCGGGCTTTGATCCGGTCCGCTCCATCCCAGGGGACACGCCCCGCTGACCCACTCTTTCTCTCCCCAGCAGTCTTGGGCACAGAGCTCAGCACAGGCCCGGACAGCGGAGGGGAGAAGCCGGCTCCCAGTGCGCCCTGGCGGCCCCGTCGGTCCAAGCGCTGCTCCTGCTCTTCCCTGTTGGACAAGGAGTGTGTCTACTTCTGCCACCTCGACATCATCTGGGTCAACACTCCCGAGTGAGTCTCTAGGGGGCGTTGGAACTCTAGCTATCCCTTACTTCTGGCTGCTCCAGAGGCTGGAGCCCACTTACTGCTAGTTGCTTTGGGGGGCAGGGGAGCCCCGGGTTTGGATTCTGAAGCTAGCGTTTCTGAGAACATGAAGGTGCCTCAGTGGCCCTCCATTCCTGAGAGTCCACAGGCAGGTTGGTTCTTCGAAACAGAGAGGGAAGGAGGGTTTTCTGAGGCCCTGTGGCTCAAACACTCATGACAGGAGAGATGGAAAATGTTGGTGACAAGCAGGTCACTGCCACACATTTCTAAGGGGGACGATCTCCTGGTGGGGTCTGTCTGGGTTTCGGGAATAAGCTGCTGAGGTCATATGTGGGCTAGTCTAACCTGTTACTCTTGAGGCAGAAGGGATGGTAGATAGTGACCCCTTCATTTTACTTAGAGCAAGACTAAAACCCAAGGAGTGAGTCCAGGGCAGGGCCAGAACATGAATGTCTTGACCCCTATGTCCTTTCCCTTTAGAAAAGCCCATTTCAAAACAGCAATGGAAACAGGGTCCATAGATTTCTCTTCTGCCTCCAGCTTGAAGAAAACCTTGCCCACTTCCCTTCATCCTGAAAACTAGCTGGCCCATCAGAAGCAGCTGTAAACAAAGACACTCAGGGTCCCATTTTGGCAAGACATGACCAAAATCCAAACAAAATCAAATCAAACAGAGCCCACGGTGAACCTAATACTTAAAAGATGATGCTTCCCAGGGGATGAATTTATTCCTTTTAGGTGAGACTCAAAAGGGACACACCTCCAGTAATTTCTAGAGAGCCTTCTGGCCATCGAGTCCTTCTATTAGTCACCTGATATCACCAATTGCAGGAGGTGTGCAAACCTGGGTACAGTAATAGGTCCTCTCCGGGCCCCCTCAGGGGGCACTTTCAGCATTATCACGGGACTTGAACTGGAAACAGATTTTCAAAATCTTGTGGGTCATGGTTTTGCACTGAAGTCCCCCTTCCTTGCAATAGCTGTTAACTAGATGGAAAGTTGGGCGGGGGGGGGGGGGAAACATATAGAATGTACATATGAAACAGACATCAAAGCCAAGATATCATAATTTTGGACAAAAGAAAAACAAATAAAAACAAAAACAAAAACAAAACAAAAAACCACAAAGCTGCTTGTGTTGAGAAGAAAGTCAATGCTGTTAAGAATTAACATGGAATTTCACTGAGTTAGAAAGACTGGTTTTCCCCTGGTGAGGTACACACACTCAGGGCCACTGATGAGCGAGGGACCCTGACGACCTTCACACTTGACCTTCCTAGGTCAGGCTACCAAGAGCTGTGTGGTGAGCCCCTTGTGTCCCACTGCAATGAGTTTGCGCCATAGAATGCATCATTTTGAAGACTGTTAGTCATGCTAATGTCTTGCGTTTGTCTTTTGTGATAACAGGCACATTGTTCCATATGGACTCGGAAGCCCTTCTAGGTCTAAGCGATCCTTAAAGGATTTGTTTGCCACGAAGGCAACAGACCACAGGGACAGATGCCGGTGTGCTAGCCAAAAAGACAAGAAGTGCTGGAATTTTTGCCAAGTGGGGAAAGAACTCAGGTGAGACAGAAACACCTTTGCTTTCAATCAGCTTTATGGCCTCTCATTCTTCCTGGCATGGTGTTGCTGCTTTTTTGTTTAAGAGAAATTAACAGAGACTTTGGGAGGAATGAGAGTCCCATTGCTGAAATATGTCTCTCTATCTGTATCGTAACAGGGACCAAAACAGTATGGAGAAAGGCTGGGATGACCAGAAGAAAGGAAAAGACTGTTCTGAGCCTGGAGAAAAGTGTATTCAGCAGCAGCTGGTGGCAGGAAGAAAAATAAGAAGGTAAGAGACTCCCAAATAGGAGAAAGGCATAGAAGAAGAGAACAAAGATTTTCATAGTCTGTAGATTAAAAAGAGCAAAGGAATCCCTGTCAGATTCCTTTTTTTTTTTTTTTTTTGAGGTTTTTCTGAAGACCTTGAATGCTGACCTTTGCCCCCTGTGTACTTTGGTGATCTTAAGCACATGCCACCCAGTCTGATGGTAGACGTTCCAAACAGAATACATCTACAGGCACCTTTGTCATTCGGTCATAGCTAGTCCTTGGTTTTCTGAGCCAATGTATTGACCACTTTCCTTGAGAAATTAACAATCCTTTTAGGGAGAGGGGTGTTTTTAGTTGATTATTTTATTTTTAATCAAAGTCTCCCATATGATCAAGTTCTTCAAAAATTGTAGCAGTTATTCCAATGGCCGAAGGGAGAATGAAGTCATTAGGTAGGGTTGGTGAGAATTAGAATGTGCTGTGTTGGGGTTTTTTTGGTTTGTTTGTTTGTTTGTTTGTTTTTGATAGGGAAGTACACTTGGTGGAGAGCCAATGTCCTTCTGAAAAGCTCTCCTATTTTCTAGTAGGTTGTGAGCTGAGGCAGAGAAAGAGCATAGATCAGGCCACACCGTAGGGTTGTGATGGATTTTGTTTGTTTGTTTGTTTTTGATAGGGAAGTACACTTGGTGGAGAGCCAATGTCCTTCTGAAAAGCTCTCCTATTTTCTAGTAGGTTGTGAGCTGAGGCAGAGAAAGAGCATAGATCAGGCCACACCGTAGGGTTGTGATGGATCTCAAGCTCTTGAGTGATGACCCTTCCATATCCAAAATGTGTCAGAATCCACAAGCTGGAGGGGAGAAATCTGCATTCAGATCTGTCACGTGTCCAACATTTCCCTATCATGGTCTGTGGAAACTTTTCCTAGAAATCCAGTGGCAAGAAGTTCTACGATCAAAGTGTTCTGAGCACAGTCCTGACAGTCACGAATGACTTCTCAATGGTTTACTACGGATGTGTGGGACATCCTTTGCTGTCTGTGACTTCTCACTTTGCCACTGCACTTTCCATATTTATAATCTCACTTGGAAATTATTATTGCTTTTCTGTTAGTTTCTAGTTTATCAACTCTTAAATCAGTGTTACAGTTCTTTCCTTTTTCTTTTTTCTGCACAAAGAAAATATTAAACCTGCTATATATATATAACCATATATATATATATATACCATATATATTATATATATATGGTTTTTAATTGTGGTACCATATTTGCTTTGAGCCAAGGCTATATGCCTCCTCTCCTTGTAAAGTTTCTTTTCCATCAAGTCACCTTTAATTCTTTACATGACAAAGCAGATATCCATGATTATTTGAAACCTATGCTGAGTCAGTTTCTCCATAGAGTCCCACGGTGGTAGTACTTGGGATGCAGCAATAGAAGAAAAGAGAAGATCTCTAGTTTACCTTAAAAGTGTACTTTAAATTTGTATTTAAAACCCAGCTCCCTTTAGATGTGACCACGGCTCCCTCTGCCCCCTATTCCAAGCATAAGGGGCAGGTGTTACTTTCAATTGAGGTTAACAAAGTTGCAGTCGGCCCAGTTGTGGTCTGTGGTGAAAGTTCAGGCACTGGACTTAGATTCTAGTTTTAGACGCCTCTTTTGCCCAGCAACGATTTTTAAGAAGATAACATTTGTTCTCTCTTGTCTTGTGCTAATAGGTTGGACGCCATCAGCAACAGCATCAAAACAGCCTTCCGTGTTGCAAAGCTGAAAGTAGAGGTCTACAGAGAGAAGAAAGTGACCCACAACCGAACGCACTGATGGCAGGTCGCCGGGGCCTGTCACATGCCATCTCCTCCCCAGAGGGAACCCTGTGGCTGATTCTGCACTCTCTCCACATGGCTGGGATCAGAGCAAAGGCATCCTCCCTGCTTAGACCGTTTCTCGCTCCAGACTGGCAACGGACCAGTGTCCTCACTCTAAACATTCCAGGAAAGGTTAAGGAGTCCCCCAATCTGTCTTCATTTGCTTCCATCAGTGGTGACCGCTTCCGTCTTTCTTCATTTGGGGTCAGAGTTGGACCCCTCAGAAAGCAGAGAGACACAGTGACTTGCGGATTAGAGTGGCAGCCTCCAGACGGGGGAGAGGAGATTCCGCGCACCGCGGAATTTCTGAAGAGGGTCCGAAGGGAGTGTTTGCGTCTCACTCAGGCGCCTGGCACATTTCAGGGAGAAACTCCAAAGTCCATGCAAAGATTTTCCAAGGAGTGCACAAATTGAAAACACACTCGAAGGACACTCAAGTTAAAAAAAAAAGAAAAAGACTTTTATTTTATTATTTTTTTTTAATTCACAAAATGCAAAACTGAAAGACACTGTTACTACTGTAAAATCAGGATGGGTTTAATGGATATGAGTCTACCTCACTTCTGTTGCACTCTGGCAGAAGTATTTCCCCACCTTTAATTATTGCCTCCTCTGGCTCTTCCCCTCCTGCTGTCCCCTCCTCCCCAAAACCCCTATGGTAAATCTTGGCCTCATAGATGTCTAGTCTAACATGTCAGTAGTAGATGTAACATTCTCATGGTAATGTTAGCTCTGATTAACAGTAGCTACTAGCTCTGATCCACAAGAAAAAATGATCATTGAATCAAGAGGTTCCCTTACCTTGATCTTTGGAAACACAATGGTATAGAATTGTTTATGAAAGACATTGAACAGTAAACATTTGGTTATGCTTTAAAGCAGTAGAATTATTTTCCTTTATGTAACTGGCTAATGGAAGGGGTTGGAATAAATTTTGATGTACTTATTTTTTTATAGATATTTATATTCAAACAATTTATTCCTTATATTTACCATGTTAAATATATGTCTGGGCAGGCCATATTGGTCTATGTATTTTTTTAAAAAATGTATTTCTGAATGAAATTGAGAAAATGCTTTGTTTTGCCTGTCAAGGTAATGACTTTAGAAAATAAATATTTTTTCCCCTACCATACTGATTTGGAGTCGTTTCTGAAATTCCCAAGAAGTGGGCCACAGTGCTAAGAATTATGAAAGGAAATGACTGAACATGGTTTCTTAGGTTGTCATAAGAAGGAAAACAGTCCTGGCTGATTACAAAAGAACTCGATCTAGATCTTCCACACTGCCGTTAGATGACATGAAGGTAAAAACAAAGCAAAAACCCAGCTTTGATACCTCTGTCTTTCCCCGGATCACAGCCTTCTGCTTCATCTCCCCCTGAAAACTCTCCAGGGACTGACTTCATCCATTAACTTTACTTAGGCGATTAGACAGGATCCAACCGCTCAAGCGGATGGTGTGGTGAGAGGCACTCTCTCCATATTAACGGGATGAAAGAAATGATGGCAGGAAGACTCCCAAAAAACGTTACCTAATTATACACAGCTCCACACCATTCCAGAGATGGAATTCCATTCCGCATTCCAGAGGAATGCTTCAAGAAAGCAGCCTGCTCAGGGCAAGTTAGGGGGGCCCCATAGCCTTTTCAATGTTATTTATTTATTTGTCTTCGGTTCAGATTAAAAGCTTTGTTGATTAAGGACCACTAAGTGCCTTGCTTGTCCCCAGTAACCCAGGACTGGACACAAGCCAGTGGAGGAAGAGACACCAGGTGCTGGTTCTGGAACACGGGCACTACCGCACACCCTCCTGGCCTCACCAAACCATCGGGGAGACTGATATGGCCAATGATCGTTACCAACAGAAGCCCATAAAGGCCTGATGAGCTTTCGAGACTCTTTGCCATCCTTTCCTAATAGGAAGGAATGCCTGGCATTCAACAAATATTAACTCATGATGATCACTCATGTGCAAACAATGACACATTTGAAGGATGTTAAGTAACAGCTTTCAGGTGTGGATAGACAATGTCCCCGGCAGGGTTGCTATCTTTATTGACATTGTTTTTAATCTTCCATTCTCTCTCTCTCTTTTTAAGGGACAGTCCAATCTCTCAAAACACAGTTTCTGGAAGTCCATTTAGAACGGCTTTCTCTCTTCGCACCAAAGGCCAGGCAGAGCTTTGATCTCAGGACTCTAAGGACCAGATATGGCTTCATCTAGCAAACCGTTTCTCAGTGTGTGACTCTTAAGGGAATTGTGGACTTTTGTCCACAATGACAAGGGGCTTGGCTTGAACGTGGGCACTGTTTAATAATCCTGCACAACCATTCAGTCCCTCTGCATTGTGGGTTTTCTCCCCGGTTAAGTGAGGGAGAGGGGAATTTCACTAAAGGCTCCAAGAAAGAGCCTGCGATGTCATAAAGAAGTTGAGGTGACATGAGACAGTGAAGGTCTGAACTTGGAGGATATGGGTCCATTACCTTTAAGAGGGAGTTTTGATGAGAAGAAGCCAGTGAGTAAAAGAACAACACAGCAACCGAAGGGAATAACAGTCTCATCTTTCTTTTCTTTTCTTTTCTTTTCTTTTCTTTTCTTTTCTTTTCTTTTCTTTTCTTTTCTTTTCTTTTCCTTTCTTTTCTTTTCCTTTCTTTTCTTTTCTTTTCTTTTCTTTCTTTCTCTCTTTCTTTCTTTCTTTCTTTCTGTCTGTCTGTCTGTCTTTCTGTCTTTCTTGTCTTTCTGTCTTTCTGTCTTTCTGTCTTTCTTTCTATCTTTCTGTCTTTGTCTTTCTCTTTCTGTCTTTCTTTCTCTTTCTTTTTTCTTTCTTTCTCTTCTCTCTCTTTCTCTCTCTCTCTTTCCTTCTTTGGGTCTTGAAACCCATCTCCTCCATGCTTCCTGCTTCAGTAGCCTGCAAGGAAAGCCAGAAGCATGAAGCAGCTCTCTCAGGGCATGAGGGTCAGTAGGAAAATAAGCTGGAAGGTTTAGAGGAAATGAATATTTTTCAAGTATGTAGAGGAAAGATTTGATATTATTAAAAGCTCATGCTTGCTTTAGGGGTGAAGTGGTGGAATGGTCTGTCACATTTCCTGCTGTGTTCCCAGTAAAAGGGCTGTGTCTGGAAGCCCACTTAGGACAGATTTCTCTCTTTATGCTAAAGGCCAGGCAGAGCTTTCATCTCAGGACTCCAAGGACCAGAGGATCCTGGGTGGTGAGCAGCCATCTTTCGTTGGGGGAAGAGAAGACCACTAATGGGTACTGAATTTTTCCCCCCAGGAAATGGCTTCCTTTGTGATGGCATCCATTGGCTTTTACCCTGCCTTTACTTCCTGAAATACTCAGGGTATTATACTAAGTAGAGTTCTCACAATGCAGAGTACTACAACATAAGCTAGAGTCTTCTCAGGAAGACTTTGTCTTTCCAGGTAAAGAAGCCAAGGTCCAGAGAGAGAAGTGACTTACCTAGGATCACACAGCAAGCTATGGCATCTCTGGACCCAGAACCCTTGAACATAGAGGTCTTACCTGGAGACACCTGGAGGTCGCTGGAGACAGATGCCCAAGTAAACCTTAACAGAGGGTTCTGGGTAGTGAAGGCAAAGTTTTGTTTTCCAGCCTCACAGGCGATGTTTGGCACTATATAAAGGAAGAAATGGAAGACAAAAGGAATATGAGGAGGCATACAAGTCTCACGGCTTCATGAAGTGAATTGCTATAGGACAAAATAGAGTATAACTGGGAACTTGTATTTATTATCACTTTTAAGGGTTTAATTACTAAATAATCCTTAAATCACACAAGTGAAGAGGCATTCCTTTGTTCAGTTCTCTGACTCTATAGTAATACTCAAGTACAGTAGTACTCAAGATACTTTGCTTTATTTCTTTGTCTAAAGTCCTGAAAATGTTAATTTTCAAGCCCAAGATCTCAACGTGTAAAGTTCAGTTCTTAAGCCCATATTTTCAATGGAATTTTTTCCACCTTGGCTTTCTCTCCTTTTTGTATTCCTCACTGTTTGGGGATCCTGGTTCTGGGGCTCAGGACATATCTAGTGCAAGTGACCGTTGCTATTCTCAGAACCTTATGATTTAACAATGACCTCTGTCACTGTAACAGAGGTAGAGAGGTAGAGAACTAGACTTCCCATAATATTTTCACTTTTGTCATTGAGACCCTCTCTCCCAGTGATCTTTTCAGGATTTGGGGGCCATCTTCTTATACCCTTTTGACAACTGAGGAAACAGACATATTAAATGAGTAAGTGACTTGTCCACACTCTTCCATCAGGTGAGTAACAAGACAGGAAAGCAAGACCTTTGACTCTTTCTCCTAAAACTGCCCCAGAGCAGAGGGAATACCACTGGCCCTGAGTTTTGGACAAATGTAGAGTAGTTCCATCTTGCCAGTGAGCTATGAGTGGTATTAACTTCTCATTACTCTCTCAGGAATATCAGTATTCCACATGTGTCCCAAACCCTAGTCCTGAGCATTTCCATCATACAATACTTGGTTACTACATCATCCTTAGTATGCCAATGCACAGTTGGTAGGGAAACCATGACAATTTTCGATGCCTGCTTCCAAACCTGGTACCACGGAAAGCTTCACTGACAATCACCGGCCACGGGTCCAATGCAAGGGAAGAAATTGTCATGAGAAATGTGGTGGCAGAGGGCCTACCATTTCCCCAAGGAAAGAGCTAGGGCCGGTGCCCTTAGATAATGAAAACAGAAGGGCGTGGGCCTTAGGGACACTGACTTGATGGAAATCAAGGGTCCTAAGCATGACAGGCTGCTCCCAGCTCTGAGAGGCAGCACACTGAGAATTTGACATGCAGCCTTGCATTTTGTGTATGTTCAGCATTTTGTGTATGTGTGTGTTTCTGCATCTTATTTGTTCACTTTCACATTCGAAGTCTTTGCAGGCCTGGACCGTAAACAGCTGTGGAAATATCTAGGGATGGAACTTGAAATATTAACATACTACTGGCATGGCATGGACACTGGCTAGGTGGAACAGACAGGGACAGAACTGTGGGGGCAGATTCCTGGTGGCCCCCAGGTAGGCCAGGATGGTAAGCCTCCAGGTGTTGGACTGTGGGGGGGGGGTCCAGTGGTCTGGGGAAAAAGGGGTGGGCAGCGAGGGTGGGGTTTCAGGGCTTCACCAACAGGATATTCCCCAATAGGATGGAAGTATTGCAAGATTTTAAAAACTGAGATAGTCTCACTGGTCCATGCCCCTGGGCGTGTCAGACTTGGAAGTATCAAAACTTGTTTCCACTCGGTAAATGATCCTCTCACCAGCTTCCCTGAGTGGGATCCCATTGTTTCCATTCCCGTGGAAGTTCAGTGTTGTGTCTTTGTGCCTTTCTGTTGTCCTGCGCACTGCCATCTTATTCTCTCACTCTCTGTGTCTCCTGCCCACATGCTTTCATCTCCTTTGGTAGAAGTGGAAATACTCTAAGGAATTCTTTGTCTCCTTGGAAGTTTTTAGCAGGGCAATCTTGTGCTTGCCAGATCTGAGGTTTGCCTTGGGTCAGGGCATGCTGGGGCCCTAGATCTGCCCTAGGATGGTCAAGAAGAAGGAGCTGCTTGTAAGGTTGGTCTTGCCCTTTTAGATGAACTCTGGACCATGAAAGGGGGGGCCTAGATAATTTGTTATTAAAATTGGGACACATGGGGCACCTGGGTGGCTCAGTCTGCTAAGCGTCCAACTCTTGATTTCAGCTCAGGTCATGATCTCATGGTTCGTGAGTTCGAGTCCTGCATCGAGCTCCGTGCTGAGAGTGCAGAGCCTGCTCGGGATTCTCTCTCTGTCTCCCTCTGTCTCTTTCTGTTCCTCCCCTGCTCATGCATTCTCTATCTTAAAATAAATTTTAAAAACTTATAAAACAAACAAGTGGGATACTTTTGTTAGAGCCTGGTGACACTTTTAGCAATTACCAGAGAACCACAGACTGTCATGGACAAACTGAAGCACGTGATTACCTGAGACCAGGATAAGCCTTG